CCACCCCCGTCTGGAGGGAGGCCTGAGGTCCCCCCTGCCCCCCGAGCACCCTTAGAGCCTCTTGCCTCTCTCCCCCATTAGGGTGCAGCTGACCAGCACACCCGGCTCAAATGGGCAGAGCAGCCTTGATCCCCCCCTGCCCTCCTCCCTGGGGATGTGGCACAAAGTGCAAGACCCTCTATCCGGCACCGTCACGTTTTGGTAGCAGATGCCCAGATCTTAAAATCATCCAAGGGTGGCCACCGGGTGTGGGAGGCTCCTGCCCGTGATGCTGCTCCCACCCATGCTCGCCCCTCTCCTCCCGCACCCCGGGTGCCCCTGGGGAGGGATTTCACCCAGTACACCCCCCGGCCATGCGCTGTGGGTGGCTCAGGACTGCCTTCCTCCCCAGGTGCGAGGTGCGGCCGGGACCCGAGTTCCTTACCCGATCCTACCTCTTCTACGCCAACCGCCTCTTCAAGGCTTACCAGTTCTACTACTGGGACCCCTCCTGCCGCGACCCCTCCTACTCGCTGGTCATCAAGGGCAAGCTCCGCCTGCGCCAGGCCTCCTGGATCACCCGTGGGGCCACTGAGGCCGACTACCACCTCCACAAAGTCGGCATCGTTTTCCACAGCCAGAAAGCCATGCGGGAGGTGGCCGCCTGGATCAACCAGACCTCCGGCGAGGGCTGCAGTGGGTTCCTGCCTCCGGGGCGCACCTGGGCTCCCGGAGCCCTCTACGAACTGCTGAGCGCCAAGACCGAGCGCGACTGCACTGCCGCCTTGGGCTTCGCCATGCACGAGCTGAGCCTGGTGCGGGTGGAGAAGCATTACCAGCCCTTGCTGCAGCCGCAGCAGAGCGGGAGCCGGCTGGTGGAGGAGCTGTACCTGGGGGACATTCACACGGAGTGGGTCGAGAGGCTCCACTACCGACCGACCGGTTATCAGCGACCTATGCAGAGCGCTGTGGTAAGGACGATGTCTTTACGCGGTCCCCTCATCGGTTCATGCCAAGCACGTGTTATTTCCGAGAGAGCGGGACTGAGGTGGGTGAAAGCTCAGCAAAACCAACATCAGAGACAAGCCTGTGTTGGCACGGGCCTGGAGTTAATGGCTTTTCTTTGGCTCTGTGTTTTCCTAGGAAATGCAGTTTCCTCGTTTCCCGCACCAAAGTCAGTGAAAGCTTCGGGCTGCACATCGTTAGAGGCCGCCTGCTCTGTCGTTTGTCTTCCTCCCCTCTCTTTCACTCTGTCGTGTCCTCCAGGTTGAGGAGAGGGGCGAGGAAGCAACATCTGCTATTAAATCATTACTCCTCGGTGTAATGCCATTAGAAGAGGAGCTTGCCCTGAATACAATTATGTTATTACACAGAAATCAAACTTTCACTTTGACGTAAATAAAACTGAGCAGGAGACGTGGTTGCATTTTTTAAATTTTAATTTATTTATTTTATTTTATTTTGCAGCAGGTTAGTTTATTTCCAGGAAAGCACATTTCTATCTGAATCATAGCTAATCAATTCAGAAATGATTGAGCAGTGAGATGGGGTGAAAAAACCTCCCTGAACTTTACCAGAAGAATTGAATTAACTGAAAAAAAAATTATTTTGGGGGCAACATTTCCCCACACCCCAAACTAGACGAACTGAACTCTGAAAAACACAGAGCAACACCCCTCTCCCCCTCAAAAGAAAAATTCTCAAATTGGTTAAACTTGTGTTATCTTGGGCCAAAACCATATATATGAGCAAAACCAGATGGTAAACATAAACACTTTTAAAAGTTAATTTAAAACCAAACCTAAAGATACTGAAATTCACTCTCTGAATATAGCACTGTAATTAATCAGCTAACAGCTCTCCAATGGACCAGCACATGATGTCACCACTTGGCACTAATTAGAAGCTGCCATACATTAGAAATAACTTCACACGACTGGTTTAAGCAAGTAAGATTTTTGGCTCCATGTCTGTAGTGATAATTTTATTGGGCACGGGATTTTTCTTTCTTTTCTTTTCCTGAACTAACATCCATTTGCTTGAGCTAGTGAGGGTTACACAGCTATGTTAGGAATTATTTTTTAACCCTCTTTGTGAAAATATCACTCTTTTCCCCTTAAATTTATATCTGTTTTAAAGAAACCCATTCTCCCCAAATTACCTTTCATTATCAAAGAATTTCCTGTCTAAGGAGAGCATATATATTTGCCAACTTCTGGGATTATTTAGCCATAATGTACTGTGTACTGTCAGCACTCATTAATGTGACAGTAGCAGTAAAGCAAGCTGAAAATGACTAAATTACAGTAGACTCCAATCAACTTGCATGTAAATTACCCACCCTACAGTTAACTACCGAGTTATTTAACCTTGTTGCGTACGACAGTTCAGTAGATTAGCTTGTGTTCTAGAAAATGATACAATGTTCAAACCCTGGTTATTTAAAAATAAATCAGTTGTGATATATGAAGTATAAGAAAAGGTTGCAAGCTGCACAAAAAAACCCTCCTGGCGTTGGATCAGCTGCAGGACTGGTTTGACTCAGAGCTCTGCACGAAGCACAGGCAGAGAAGCAAAGGTCAGGTCCTCGTTTTGCAGTAGGTCTTTTTCTTCCCTGTCTCCGGTGCAGTGCCCGTTCTGGCTGCTTTGCAAAGCCCCTGCCTCCCTCCCGAGCCGCCTCACCTGCCGCCCGGCCGGCGACCTGCAAACGCAGCCGCAGATGCGGGAGCGTGGGCAGGGGCTCTGTACGGCCGCGGTAGGAAGGGGGCGAGGGGGAAGCAGAATGCGCCGTGCTTTTGGCTGTGCTGGAGAGGCTGCCATCAGTGTGGTGTAGTACAGCCACAGAAGCCTGCCCGCGGTAAAGGTTTCACAGCCTTTTTGATTGCCGAAAAGGCTGCATCGTTTTTTCTGGATCAGTGCAGAAGCACGGTGATGTAGCTGACGTCTCCCAGCACCCTCACCCTCACCCATGGGTACGCGCAGCAGCTTGCAGTGGAAAACTTGTGGGGGAACAACCTGGATGGCCCGAGGGAGCGTTCCCTGCCCTTACAGCAGCTCTGCCCTTGCTCTGTCCTCCTCCCCGCAGGCTATCCTTAGCGGCCCTGGCACAGGGCAGAGCGCAGCCTCAGGGCACAGACCTCTCCGTCCTTCCAGAACAGCAAAGAGCCAGGGCAGCGCTTTATCTCACTTGATCTGCTTGAACGTCTTGGGCCAGGTTCATTGCAGTTGAATACCCCGGTGCAGGAGAGGGGAGTTTCAGCTTTTAAAACATTCTGAAAGGGTTTTTTGCCTATCAGTTTACAAAAATGTTATTTTTTGTCTTCTGCAGCACCACGTGCATCCTTGCCCGGCCTGTGGGATTATATACAGAGCTGATGAACACCACCCACCCATACTACCCGTCAGAGCTCAGCTGCCAATGCAGCTCAGCGGCAGCTGGGTGAGCACCCACTGCGAGGTCCGACCTGCAGTGCTTTTCCTTACCAGGTACTTCATATTCCACGGTAGCAACCACACCTGGGAAGGTTACTACTATCACTACTCCGACCCACTCTGCAAACAGCCGACTTTCACCATCTACGCATCTGGGCATTACAGCCAAGGCATCCCCTCCTCCAAAGTGAGAGGTGGGACAGAGCTGGCTTTTAAAGTCACGCAGGCTCGGGTGACGCCAATGGACCAGGTGACGGTGATGATGCTGAACTCCTCAGAACCTGGAAGCTGTGGGCTGACAGGCTCCTGGAGTGCTGGGGTGGAGCAGGATATAACATCCACAAATGGATGTTTGGCTTTGGGCATCAAGCTGCCCCACACGGAGTACGAACTTTTCAAAACGGAGCAAGACGCGAAAGACCGCAGCCTGCTGTACATTGGCGAAAGGCCCACGGACGGATCCAGTCCCGACAGCCCAGACAAGCGACCCACGTCGTATCAGGCACCTCTGATTCAGTGTGCTGGAGCGTCGGAGGAATTCTCTAACTATGTTAGTCTAAAATACTTGGGAAAAAAGGATGCTAATGGGAATGAAGCGCTAAAACCTTTGCCTGTGGCCTTTTTATTGTTTATAGCACTTCTGTTTTTAAGATGGGACTAGTTATCTATTCAGGTACAGCACAGAATTCAGATAGTCTTGGTGCTAGCGTGACTTTCATAGCCTTCAAATGAGCACATCTGGAGTCAGTTTTACTCAGATTTGGAAACACTTTTTTAAAAACCCCAACAACAGTGAACGAAGCCAAGAAGATACGCCTGGCTACATACTGTTTGTCCTGTGGCATTATTGCCTAATCTCCCCTCTTCTTCGCGTACAAATTTAATGTAGTGACATGAATGCGCTCCACATTGCAATAGATAATTTAGCAATATGGGGGGGGGGGGAAGCGACATCAATTACAATTGCTGCTTTGAGCTTTTGACATTGCTAAGATTTAATCAAGAGCTTGAGTCAGATGTAATTCAAACATCCAAAGGGTCGGCTGCTGAGTTTCTTTGAGGTTAAGTTCCCTCCTATCATACTCCTTATTGCTGTTCTTGCAAATTTAATCTGCAGAGTCAGTCAGCAATAGATAAACAGTCAGCAAGTGCTCTTGGTAAGGGCACGGTTAATCATGCCTTTCTCAGTTTACAGACATTTTCTGCAGTTTTCGGGTGTACGTACGCACACAAAGATGCAACATACAATCTTCCACTTACATATGTACATAAAGCAGCCCTCACAAAGCATTACCTCGACAGACTGTTGTGCCTGACCCTGGTCATAAAAGAAGATACAGTAAATGGAAAAGGCTTCTGTGCACAACCGCTCCACCCCTCAGCATTACCTGGCTGCAGACGCTGCACCCTTGCTGCATTATCCTGGCTTTCCCAGTGCAGTACTGGCCTGCACTTTGGTACGTCAGCAATGGCCCCACGTCGCTGCCCGCCTTGCCCAGCAGGCAAAGGCACTGCCAGGCAATCGCGTCTCCCACTCACCGTGCACCGAGCGAAGCAAAAGATCGCTTACAAGTCTTCTCAGGCCATATATTTTCACTGTCTCCTCTTTAGTAAGTGCACTGGCATACCAGTTGTTAATCCAGCTCTCCGTTCAATCAAAATGTCACTTCCAGCCTCATTCCTGTACAGATGTTTTATAAATCTGCCTCTAGTGACCAGTGGGCTGAGGAGACACTCGAATCAGACAGCACAGTCAGGTCAGACTGATTTCTACTGACAAGAAGGGCAAACTAAGAAATTATATTCCCTGTCTGCTGCAGCTAAGAAGCATATAACTTACTTGGAGAAGACCTCCCAGTAGCTAAATCCTCTCCAAATAAGCCTATATATCTTACTCACAAAGGATATTTTCTTAAACCAGCTATGCAATAGCTACCTTCTTAATGCTGTATTTACGAACTTGCAGCTTGTACTTAGATAAATTATGGGTTTTATAACATAAAAATACCTTTGGGGGATCTGTACATTAACTAATAATTCAAATGAGATGCTTATTAAATGCATACAATTGTGACATAAATGTTGTGATCATGTTCGCATGTTCCAGGCATGATCAAATATTAATCATGCACATACACTTCTAAGATGATACACAAAAAGGCCAAGCTTGGCTACCTCACCTTCGGTTCCCTCGACAATCAGTGGAGAATGAGGCTTCTCCGGGGTTAGTTCAGCAGGCAAAATACCTCCCTGTTTCTAAGGGTGGTTGTGTTTTGTTGCCTGCTACTGCGTGGAGATGCACGGGCAAACATTTGAAGAACTGGAAGTGCATCTTGGAGAATGTGGCGTCTCCTTTGGGACGTCCCCGTTGAGATGCTCTGAATCGGGGCAAGTCCGGGGTAGCCCAGCTGCATCTCAGCAAACCACACACGCGGCAGAACCTTTTCTTCAGCAGACCTCTTTCCCATCTCCATGCTAGAGCGGTCACTCACCACAGCCTACAGGAAAGGCTCCTGTGACTCAAATCAGCAACGCTACATGTTTCTGCAGGACCCAAGGATGTCCATGGCAAGATAGGGAACAGCCTTGTGCTGTCTTTGGAGGGTGGGTGGAAGAGGGGGAAGGCAATTCCTGCCCTACATTTACCCCCAAGAATAAGATTTGTGTGCAGATCCTTTTTTTTTCATTTACATAGTATGGAAATGTATTAAACTTAGCAAGCGTTCGGATATTGCATGGTGTAAAAGCTCCTCCAAGACCACAGATCCTTTCAAGGTGGTGATGGGATTAACATGATGTAAGAAGTTACAGGACAACACCACGTACTTAGGCAACAACACCTGAGAAAGCTCCCACCTCCTCCCATAGCAGGTGAACCACCACCGGGGTCCGGCAGCACTGGATGTTTAGACACAGCTCCACAACTCTGCACGACGGACGGGCTATGCTGACTCAACTTCCCTGTGAAAGCCTCATCAGGAGCCTCTTTGTCCTCTGTTTCCCCCCCTTTAAGTATACTTCTGAAAGAAAAAAAAGCCATGAAAAAGCTATTTGCATAAATATCATAACGTTTATTGTTCTGTTCACAGTTTTTGGAGAAACATTCCTAAATTACACAGTTATTCTCTCTTAAGAATTTGTGCCTTTTTCCAATTTGAATTTGCCTGGCTTTGATTGCCAGTCAGTGATTCTTCTTGTGTTGCTCTTTTTAAGATCAGAGAGCTGCAGTGTTCAATATTTTCTCCCCGTGAAGGTACTTGTGCACTGTAATCAAGACATTCTCAATTTTGGTAGATAAACTCAGCCAACTGAGTTTCTCTCTCGCCCTCTCTAAGGCATTTTAACACTCCACCAGTAATTTTTGATCTTTTTTTGCATCCGTTCCAATTACTCAGCTTCTCTTTTAAAATGTAAATATCCAAATTGCATCCAAAATTCCCAACTCTCACAGCTGAGACATACAGAAGTATAATCACTTACTGCTAACGGTAATTAAAAACAAGAACACATTCTTACTCATTAGTCTTTCACCCCGGGACTGCACTGGGAACACGTGTGGAGCTCTTAGTCACTCGTCCTGGGTATGGATATTTTTGTCATGTTAACATTTTATCAGTAGTGTTTTTTTACCTATCATCTTCACCAGTGACCTGGAACGACTGAATCATATCGGGTCCCAGCAGAATCCTCCTATGAGCATCCCCATTTCATTATGGTTCTCTTCGAACGACCTTCTAAAGGGCCTGCGACTGTCAGAAAACACCAAGTTTTGCAGGGGCCCAGATATACTCAGTTCACTCTAATCCCCAAGAAAACTGAAAACCAGAGATAGAATGAAATGACTTGCATCACGCTCCTTCATTAACATTCAACTCCTTTTTCATCCCTTCCCTGGGGGCGTCAGGCTAGTTAAGCACTTCACCCGGGGCCGTCCTGTCCTGTCTGCCATCCTTCTCATCAGCAGGTCAGAGACTGCCCCAGGCATCTCCCTTAGAAATACTGATAGAAGGTTTCTAGACCTGAATTTTAAAATGTTGATTTTTAATATTAAGCACTGCTAATGAATGGCATCCAGTTCTCTTACATCATCCCCAGCAGTTTTACCACCTGCATCTAGTAATGGTCCTTATCCTACCGCAAAGATTTCCTCTGAACTTCAGCTCTCCGTCACCCTCTCCAAGCACTCCCACCCATACATTTTTCTTTTCCTTTGGTTATTGCTTTCCTTATTAATTTTCTACACTTCATAACTCTTATTTTGAGTTGATTGCTGTCAGCTTCCCTTTTTCTTATTTGTTTTGTATTACTTTACATCTAATTTTTCCCTTCATTTCATCACTGAAACAGGATGGGCAGTTAGCCAAAGTTGTCCCCCTTCTCAATTGCAAAATTGTTGGGGTTTTGGCCATTTAATAGCTTTCACTTAGAAACCTGCCAATTCTAATTCAGTTTTCCATCTAATTTCTTCTTCACTACCAGATTTGATACAAAATTTGCTCAGCTATGCCCTTTTGAAGCACCAATTACATTTATTAGCAGTTTGCGTGGCTGTATGCCTAACCTGAATGTAATCAGGATTCCACGGTAACCACCAACTTCTAGTTCTGCGACTCATTTATCTTGATCTGACATAAACGAGACAAAACCAAATAACTGCGTGTTTCATGTCTAACACTGCATTAGAAAAACAGGTCTAGGACATAGACAACAAACATTAGTCCTGACTACTGGATTCCTTTCAACTGTAAAATAAATATATACCTTTTTATTGTACCTGTGAAGAAAAACCAGGCTAACAGATGCACTGGCAGGTTAGTACCAGCTGAAAGTCAATGGTAACAGGCACGTGTCTTGGAAAACTCTTCCCCGTTCACTTCTGACATAATACTTCTCAAAAGTTTAATCATTTTTTAAACACTCCAAAAAGCAGAGAAAAATAGTTTTCAAACACTCTGAATACATTTACGAGCTTCCTGCACTAAGTCTGAGCATGAAAGTCTTTCGTACTTCAATATCGTATGCTACTCGAACAAGTTGCCTTTGCCATTTTCTGCCTCTCTAGCAGGCACAAAAATTTAAAGCCGGACAAACACAGTCATAGGTCTGATCTCCTCTTCACAGCTCAATTAACAGTGAGTTATTTTTCCAATTAGCCACCTTCATGCCCCCCCGTTTAAAATACCTTAGCATGGATTTTGCATTCTAGATTACCCAAACAATTCTTAAACTGAAACAAAACACACAAAAAAGTTTTAAAACACTTCTGGATATATTAACAGCATTGAGCTAGTGCTTCATTTGAAAAACAATCCACACTGAATATAAAAGCATGCTATTTACTATAAATAAATGTGCTGCATTGAAACAGCAGAAAAAGGCTGGAGACAGAAAGGAGATGGTAGGGAAGACTCATTGCTCCAAAATCTGTAGAGTGAAGAGGAAGAAGGAACGAATTTGATCAAAGAGGAAGCAGAAAGGTGAGTGGTTCCCTAGGATGGGAAGAGGCATCTGGGACCAGAGTTAGAGATGCCAAGGGAGCGCTCTGCCAGGAAGCCTGGGTGCAGCCACAGAGCGCTCCCGTGGGCCTGAAGGCAGTCTGGAGTCAGGCGGTCAGGGAAGAGCAAGACTGGAAGGGCGATGGGAAGAAAGAGACCGAGATGGAAAATAAATAGGCAGCAGAGAAGAAAAGCCATTTAAAGACACTGGGCTGAAC